ATCCCCAGGATCTGTTGTGATTGGCAACTAATTTAGAGCTTATGAAAGAGGAAAAATCAACATGATTGTATTAGGACGTCGGGAAAGTCATGACATATTCTATGTTCTATGCAAAACTGCGTCATAACTTTCCTGACATCCCAGTAAAATCGTTGACTGTGGAGATTGGGTTTTAAGGCCTGGCATATTCACATGTAATCAGTTTTTCTCTGTATCAAAATTTGAAATAGGTAGGGCTAAATCATTCTTAGGACTAAATTATTCTTAGAGCAGACTGTTCCCAAATTTCAGTGTGCATAAGAATTACTGGAGAGCTGGTTAAAATCTAGACTCCCGGATCCACTGGGATTCACTCATCCATTCATGTTTACTGAGCGCTGCTGTGAGCAGGGTTGCTGGATTTAGCAAGTGAAAACACGGGATGAGCACTTACACTTGAAGGTCAGTTCAACAGGGCTTGTTTTTTAGTGTAAGTGTGTCTCGTGTGACAGCTGGCACATGTCTTAGCTCCTGCAGGCTGGAGGCCTCTCCACCACACCATTTATTGCTCATAGCTCTGGAGGCTGGAAGTCAAGAACTGAGACTGCAGCGTCTCGTGCGATTGCAGTTCTGGTGAGGGGCCTCTTTCGGTTGCAGAGTGCTGGCTTCTCACTCTTCCCTCTCACCTGGAAGGAGAGTGTGGCTGCCCTCTGGCCTCGTCTTCTGAGGGCACTAATCCCATTCATGAGGGTTCTACCCTCCCGACCTACTCACCTCCCAAATGCCAAGACACCGGGATTAGGGCTTCAGCATATGAATCTAGGGGGGCAAATTCAGAGGGAGTCCAAGAAATGGCCTAAACTGAGTTCCTCCAAAGCCCACCGCTCTGTGACCATTCTTTGGAGCTAGTCAGTGCTGGGGGTCATGAAGGCCTTGCCTTGTTACCAGTTAGGACATTCAGGGTAGCGGGGCCGTCTCTCCTCCTTCCATGTGGTGTTTATACCTAACTGTAAACATGCCAGGACTCAGGTTGGGGGTGCGGGTTAGGAGTCTCTAACATCTGCCAGGTGTACCAGGAGGTGAGCAGAGTACCTTCCTCTCCTCTGGAGACTCTGGGCTCTTTCCTGGCTGGAGTAGCCCCTGCAGCTGGTGCTCGTGGTCTCTGGGGATGGAGGAGGAGTTGAGGAGCCTCTTCTGGTTAATCTCATCTCTGACGTTCACTCCCACCCAACCAGCTGGGACAGTCAGTATGCTTCTGCAAAGACCTGCTCTTCCAAGGGACAAGCACAACGCAAATTGAAACCATGGTGTGATACTATTACACACCGACTAGAATGGCTAAAATCCAAACAACTGACCACACCAAGTGTCAGTGGGGGCGTGGTGCCACTGGCACTTTCAAATGCTGCTGGTGGAGTAGACACTGGGCAGGAAGGGCAGGAGGGAGGGGTTGTGAAGAGGCGTAAGGAAACCTTTGGGGGTGATGAGTACCTTCACTATCTTAATTATGGTGATGTATAAATATGCACAGTTTATTCCATATTAATTATGCTTCCAAGAAAACTATAAAGCTACAGAAAACTACTTTTAAAGTCATGTAGAAAGAGACATAGAGGCATACACAAGCTTTGCGGGTAGCTGGTAGGGATCAGTGGGGAGGCGGCTGCAGGTTGCTGTCCCAGGGTAAGGACCAGGTGTGGAAGGGACTAGAAGGGAACAGATGGGCACGGACCCTCCCCAGGAGTGGCTCACACCCTGATTGACTTTATGCGAGGTGTTTTGTGCTTTGCGTTTTTTTTTCCCCCTTCCACCTCCCCCTTCACCTCCCAAGGAGGCTGGGACCAGGGTACACACCACCACCCCCGCCCAGCACTTTTTCAGACAGGGTCTCACTATGTCGCCCAGCCTCAAGCCTGCACTTCTCCTGCCCAGGCTACCAGGTCACTGGGACTACAGGCATGCACCACTGTGCCCAGCCTTTCAGTTGGACCAGGAATTGAACCCAGGTCTCCCACATGTGCCAGCCTGAGGACCACAGTGTTTTAGCAGTGTGTGCCACTGTGGCTGGGTCTATGAGGTACTTTTTAATGGAGATACAAAGCTTAGCTCATAGCAGAGTGATTATTTGTACTGGGAGGATTGGGCGAGGCCTCTTGGAAATAATAATATTTGAACTTATTGGTCTTAAGTTTGACAAATACCGTGGTCATTGCCATAGCTGACCTCTAACGAGCATTTGGCATGTGCCAGGCACTCTTGGAGAGCTATACAGGCATGGGTCCATGTGATTCTTGTTACACCTCTACAGGGCGGGCACTTTTTCTTTCTTCTAGGGGAGGGGCAGAGACAGAGACAAAGACAGAGATAGAAAAGATAGACACCCTCAATAGGGTCTCACGCTTCATCCCCCTCTGGCCTGCTCAGCCAGCCCGGATCATGGGCACGGCATGCAGGGATTGCTTGGGAAGGGAACCCTGATCGTCCACGGGGCCTCGGCGGTGTGGAGTGCTATGTTGCTGCTGTGTCTCTGTAGCTGGCCCTGGGCGGGCACTTTTATCCCCTCCATTTCATAGGCAAGGACATGGATACATAACGTGCCCAAGGTCCTATGGCTATCAAGTGGCGACACTGAGGTTTGGCTCTGGACAATCTAATGTCTGCCCCAGCACTCCCGTCTATGGCTCCCATTCTGCCTCTGGTATGTGGATGGGGAATATATAGGGAGGTACGAAGGTTTCAGTATGACTCAGGTCCCCCTTGGAGACCCTGCTAATGAAAATCATCATCGCCTACTGCTCGTCTAAAATGGAAGAAGTAGGCAGTATGGGACAGACGGGAAATAAATTACCCCTCATCACACGCAGACACCCCTGTTTGTTTTCACATCTGTGGCACCCTCCTCTCTCTTTCGACCTCTGTGGTTTATCATTTACTTACTCTTCTGAGAGCGGGGTGAGGGCACCCAGACAGGGTTTTCATGCCGCCATCTTCCACTCATCCTCAGCTGGCAGGATCCGAGCGCACATGCGTGGGTGCCTGGTGTGTACAGAAGACCTCAGGAAGAAGACCCGGCGGCTTCCCATGCGGCTCAGCCTCCCAGCGCTTGCATTACTGCCGCACCCCCACGGCTGGCCAGACCTCCTTGGTTTTGATGAAGTTGGGTTTCACTTGCGGTTTCTTTGCATGATCCTCCTCCCCTATTATATTGACAGAGTGGAAATGCTAACAAATGTTTACCGGTCACCATCTTATTTAAAGATGGCAGACTTAAAAGCAAATGGCTTTTTGCACAAGAGCAGGTTTATTCAAGCCGTGCCCTCCTTTGACCAGTGACAGATGGAGATGGTGAGTGGGGTCTCTAAGCGGTACCGAATCCCAAGTAAAAGGTAACGCCCACACATCCTTCTTGATATTGGGATCACCATGCAGGGCATCACGTCTAGTCTTGTCAGGAATGGAGGACTTGGAACCCCACCATTGGCCCCTGCAAGTCTGGGAGGGGGGTGTCTGCACAACCCACCACAGAAAGCTTCGTGCAGAAGAGGGACACCAGGCAAACCAGAACCGCTCACAGATCCAGGGCTGCCGGGCGACAGTGAGGGTGGCCATTGTCTCCATTCTGACGGATTTGCAGTTGTCCAAGTGCGGAGTTGGGCTTCCCCTGGTAAGGGACTAGACCGAGGTGCCACGCTTTATTTGTTCTCTCGTGCTTTCGTATTCACTATGAAAAATGCAAACACCGAAGTCGGGAGACTCATGAAAGATTCCCAGATACTCAACACAAATGCCAACATTTGGCCAAGCGTTTGTGATTTTCATTTTATTTCTACTGAGCAAAGAGCACAGTATGGTGGCTTTTGATGGATTTTTGCCTATGTTCGCACCTGTGCAACCCCCACCCCGCAGCAGGCTCCCTCCTGCCCCATTCTGAGATCTGCACTGTCGTAAATCATAGGGCACAATGGTGGCTTTATACTGGGAAAAAACATTGCTATAAAGAAAAAGAATTTCTGTATTTATCGTCTCCCATCCTCGCTCACTGATGTAATTAATAAAAAGATAAACTCTGGGTTGTAAATATGAAACAACTCTCATTAGTTTAGAGGAAAATGTCTTTAGAGATTGGCTCTTGCTTTAGATTACCTACGCTAATTTTTCTTCTATTCTTTTCTTTCCTTTCATTTCTTCTATGAGTGAGAAAGAGGGAAAGCAAGAAATAGGAGAGAGATAGCACCCCCGACAGAGCTGCAAGGCTGCCATTCATCCCCACCTGCAGCCAGCCCTGGATCCCGGGCCCATGTGTGCCCAGTGTACTCAGGGAGGACCTTGGACACAAACATAGAACTTTCCCAGGCAGGTCAGCTTTGCAGAGCTTCGTGTTTTACTGCTGTGCCATGACTGGCCTCTGGATTATTTTTTTTTTTTTTTTTTTTTTTGTAGAGAGATTTTTTCTATAGGATGTGTGTGCTCGCCAGAGAGACACAGAGAGACAGAGAAACAGATAGCAAGAAATTATCTCCTGGGAGAATGGCCATGCCAAAGTCCCTTCTCCATTCCCCTCCTGGGGTCTTGGGCATGGACATGCATGAATACACGCTCAGTGTGAGTTTTAAGCCACCAGGTCTGGGACTTGAACTGCATTCGACTATGTGGGAGTCCAGTGATGTAACCAGTACGCCATCTTCTGGTTCCACCCAGTGTTAATCTTAAGGCCTGCCCTGCCTCCCTTCCTCCCTCTGCCTTCTTCCCACCGGACACTGATTGGCTAACTCAGTGAATGATGCAGGTTGAAAATAAATCCTAGGCCAGTGTTGGTGCTCCCCCGTGTTCACAGTACCAGGTGACGAGAGGTGCCTGCGCTGCTTCCCCTGTGGTTGCCTCAGGAAGAGTGAGGGTGCTCAGGATGGGGGAAGGTGATTGGCTGCCTGGAGGCCTGCTGAGCTGGTCTCCTGCTGCCCTGCCCTCCAGGGCAGGAGGCCCACGGGCCCGGTGGGCAGTGACAGCCTAGTGCTCCCTTGCAGACGCTGCAGGAGATCTTCCAGGCAGAGAACACCATCGTGCTGCTGGAGCGGTCCATCATGGCCAAGGAGTGCCCGCTGAAGGTGGCGCAGACGCGGCTGGAGTGCCGGTCACGGCGTCCCAATGTGGAGCTGTGCAGGGACATGCCGCAGTTCAAGTGAGCAGTTGAAGCTGGCCGGGGCTGGGGGATCCCTGTCGGGGTTGGGGGATCCGGCATCCAGGAAGGGGAGGGGCGGGTCTCAGGAAACGGGGCTGAAATAGGGCCCTCCACTACTCAGGACACCTAGTCCCTGTGTGTGCGGGGAGGGGATCGGGCATTCTGAGGTCCAGCCTGTTGTCCCCCTCTGTGGCTTCCCAGCCGGGGGAGGCTGCCCCCCCCCCCCCGCCTGCCCCCCTGTGGGCCTCCCCAGCCGGTGGAGGCTGCCCCTCCGCACCAGTCTTCTCACCTGCTGAAACACGGGATGATTTGTAGCTCCATGGTGCTCTGGAAACCCTCCTGCCTTCTCTTGAAAGCAAAAGAGATGTTGGCTCCTTCTCTCTCTGGGTCCCACCAAAGAGGTACCCAGCTCATGCCTCGCTCATTTCCCCCCACCCTCCTTGTGAAGCTCCCACCGTGAAGCCTGGGAACAGCCTAGCTAGTTCCTCACTAGATGGGTCCTGCCCACCCTGCCTAGCTAAGAACCTACTACTGTTGGCAAAGGGCCTCTTCCCAGGAGAGTGGGCAAAAAGCTCATGTGTTCCAGAAAAGGGGGTTGTGGGTATGGGAAAGGGGGTTCAGTGAGGTGATGGCCAGATTGTCTGACATAAGTGATTATTTTCCCATGAATATGCTGTGTGATTTGGAGTAGGTTGCTTAGCTGCTCTGTTTTCTCCATGCTTGGGGCCCTGTATTAGTTATCTACTGCTGTGTAACAAATTATCCCCAGACTTAGTGACTTGGAAGAACCCGTTGCTGTTACCTCAGTTTCTGTAGGTTAGGAGTTGGGCCAGGTTCCTTGCTAGGCTCTGTGAGTCAGGGCCTCTCACGGCTGTAGTCAAGGTGTTCACCGGGCTGTGGTCTCATCTCAAGACCTGAGTGGGGAAGAAAGCGCTTGCACTCTCACTTGTGTGGTGGTCGGCACAGCTCAGTTTTTTGCAGGCTGTTGGTTGAAGGCCACCCTCGTTACAGTGAAATAAAATTAAAAATCCAATTTCTTGTTCACACTAACCACCTTTCAAGTGCATCTTTCAATAGCATGTGTGGCTAGTGGGTTCCGTACTGTAATGGTGCAGACAGACTAATTCCGCACACAGAAACTATTGCAGATAGTAGTGTTTAGAGCGCTTTTTCTCTCAGCCTTCATGCAGCCAGCTCACTCTCACTACTTCTCTCTGCTCAGAAGCCACCTCTGCAGAAAGGCTCTTCTTGATGCCTTTGGGAACTTCTGCAGGGGCAGAAAAGGGGAATGAGGACATGGAACAGGGGAAGCCAGCTTCAGCAGGTTCCTGAGACTCTGCAGCATGAATTTGCTTTACAGAGTTGTTCCCACCATGGGGCAGGGGACAGCCTTGCACCACTCTGAGTCAATCAGCCCCTGGCTGTGGGCCACAGCACAGAGACTACTCTCCTCCCAAGTAAGTGGCTCTGGTCTGCTGAGAGCTGTAGTTCTCTGGAAACCTCTGGGCGATCAGCTGCCCACACATACTCACAGCAGCTGTGGGAGGGGTGCCCCAGCCAGTAGGGAGCCTGATCAAGGCACCAAGGACAACCATGATACCTGACTCTTTTCTCCAAATGAGAATGGCCCATAATCCTGTTTGAGTTTTTGTTTTTGTTTTTTCATTTTTCGTTTTGCTATAGGGCATGTGCACTCATGAGAGAGAGAGAAAGAGAGAGAGAGAGAGACCATCCTCCAGGAGGATGGCCACACTGCAGTCCCTTCTTCATTCTCCTCTCATGATTACGGGCATGCACCCATATGTACCTAGCGTGATTTTCAAGTCACCGGGTCCGGGACTCACATCACGCAGTCAGCCCTGCGGGATCCAGCCACCTTAACCACCATGCCACCAGGCTGACCCCGTCTTGTTTTTTAAAAAATTGTAATAAGGGGCCAGCAGGTAATGTGATGGATCCCACGTGGCCGACCATAGTTAGAGTCCTGGACTTGTGACTTGAAAATCCTGCTGGGTGCATGTGAATGCCTGCCCAAAATCCCAGGGAGAGAATGGAGGAACATGGACTGTAGCATGGCTTATCCCATTAAGAGTGATTTCTCACTTTCCCTTTTTCTCTCTCTCTCCAGTGAGCACACACCCCCTATGACACACACACACACACACACAAAACTTAAAGAATTGTGATGAAATAATGAGTCACCATCCGTGACATTTATTGCATTTCCGATCTATAATCACTGCCACTGTCTAGTTCCAGACCTTGTTCTTCATCCCCAAAGGAGATCGTATACCCACTAAGCAGCCCTTTCTCCATTCTGTTCTCCCCAACCCTAATGACCACTGTCGTCCCCAAAGGAGAGCGTATACCCACTAAGCAGCCTTTCTCCGTTCTGTTCTCCCCAACCCTAATGACCACTGTCTACCTTCTGTCCCTATGGGTTTGTCTACTCTGGGCGTCTCACTTTAATGGAGTCAAACAACGTGTGGCCTTTCACGTCTGGCTTCTTTCGCCCAGCATGTTTCGAGCTCATCTGTGCGTAGCCTGTGTCCGTACTTTATTCCCCTGTGGATAAGATGTCATAGTGTGGGTAGAATGTGTTTTGTTTATCCATTCATCTGCCAATGGACGTTTGCATGCTCATGCCTCTTGGTTATTCTGCTATGAACATTCGCAGTCACGTTTTGGTTTGGACCTGCTCTTAGTATTTCGGGGCATATACTCAGGAGCAGAATTGCTGGGCCATATGGCAAGTCCACCTTTAACTTACCGAGGAACTGCCAGATGGCTTGCCTATCCAGTCTTACCGTCCTGGTTCTCCCTCTGCGTGTCACCCTTGGTCGCTCCTGTGTGCTGCGCTCCCCCCGCCCACCCCACCCCCGTCCTGCCTGTTTTCCTCTGCAGGCCTGAGCCAGGCCTGTATTCCCACTGTCCCGGCAGTGCACAGTTCCTCCACGTAGTGGACGCTTCTGTCGAACGGCTGAGTAAACTGTGTCTTCTCCTCCGCCCTCACCCCAGGCTCGTGAATGAGGTGTTCACCATCGATGACACCCTGCAGACCCTCAAGCTGAGGCTGCGGGAGACACAGGACACGCTGCAGCTGCTGGTCATGAGCAAGTCGCGGCTGGAGCACGAGCTGGCCATCAAGGCCAACACCCTGTGCATCGACAAGGACAGGTGCATGGCCATGCGCAGGACCTTCCCCAGCACGCCGCGCCTGGTGGGCTCCTGCTGAGAGCCGCTGCTGCCGGGCAGTGCCTGCTCTGGGCTGGCTTCTCACACGCCAGGAAATTTGAAAAGGCCAAAAAACTAATAAAAAAGTATCATTTTCTCCTTTTCCTCCTATTATGAAATATATATAAAGAGCTCAAATAAATGTGCCCAAACCAAAGATCCTGGAACTCATATTCCTTGCTGCAGACCCAGATGCAGGGCAGGCCCTGGAGGGAAACAGACAGATCCAGGGGGATCCAGTGTGGCCAGGCTGTGAGCACGCCCAGCAGGGGAAGAGCCCATGGGCGAGGTTGTCACCTGCGTGCCATCGAGAAGCACAGTGCATTCCCTGGTGTCCCAACATTGGCTGCCAGTACCCAGTCCAGGACCCAGCTCCATCACCCGGGAGCTGAGTGACCTTGAAGAAGCTCTTAGCCTTAGCTCCTCCCTCGGTGAACTGAGGTCAAAAGTGAAGGGGATGGTCATCAGTGCGGCCAGTGTGAAACACTGGAAAGGATTCAGGGTCGGGCATCAGAGTTGGAATCCCAGTTTGGCAGGTTGAGTGTTTTGAACACTGCTGTCGGGGGAGACAGAGCGACGTAGTAAGATGTGAAACTGCGGGGCTGGCCCACATGGGGTGCTCCCAGGGTCACACCCAGAGACCTGAGTACACCGGGCGTGTGCTCGCTCGGGATGCGGAGCTGGCTGAGGCTGGGGGTGGGTTGTGGCATCAAGACCCTATTGGCACACACCCTATTGGCACACACTCTCTCTCTGTCCCTGTCTCTTTCACTCGTGGAAGAAATAAATAAGTAAATAAATTAGTATGGGAAGAAAAGGAGACAAAACCAGTTGTGTGGGTAGGGTAGGGAGACACTGGTGAGAGTGAGGGAAACTGAAGGAGTGACATTGCCTCAAAAAGTTAAGCGTGAAACTGTCAATGCCCCAGCAATTCTGCTCCCAGGTATACAACTGAGGGGACTGAGACGGGCCCGCAGAGGACCTGTGACCGTGCTGAGCAGCAGACGCAGCCGGCCCTGGTGGACTCGAGCTCGGTGGCCACCAGCAGATGCGTGGAGAAAACTGTGGTTGATCTGTGCAGTGGAATATCATCCAGCCACAGAAACGGAACGGAGCACTGACACGTGCCGCAGCATTGATATGCCTTGAAAACATTATTCTGGAGGCCAGCAGGAGGCATGGTGACTGAGGTACTGGACTCCCGTATGGCCAGCCACGGTTCAAATCCCGGACCTGGTGGTTTGCTTTTTCACTTTCTCTCTCTGTCTCTCTCTCTCTGGTGAGCACATGCACCCCCTATAACAAATTTAAAAATCATTATCATAATAAATAAATAATTTGGGGAAAAAATCAAGACAAAAAAAATACATTCTAAGCAAAATAAGACAGATATGAAAGGTCACATGCGGTATGTTCCCACCTACGTGGAATACCCAGAAGAGGCACATCCATGGAAATAGCAGGTGGGTGGCCCATGGCCTAATGGTTAAGGGAGCTAGATCCCACATGGCCTACCGTGGTTCAAATCCCAGCTCGGGCAGCTTGAAAAACATGCTGGTCACGTGTGTGAGTATGCCCCAAACCTCAGTAAGATGGGGAAATGGAGGCGAAGGGATTGTGCTGTGGCAATGCCCCATGGAGGGGTGCTTTCCCCACTCCTTATGGCTCTCTGGCAAGTGCATGTGCCTTGTGGCAATTAAAAAAAGAAAAACAGACAAAACACAAACAGCAGGTTTAAAGTAGCCAGGGAGAGGGGACTGGGCACAGCTGCTTAGCGGCCCTCAGTAGGTACAGGGTGTAACTGTGGAGGGATGAAAGCGCTGGGAAAGACAGAGGTGTGGCTGAATGCCATTGTGAGTGCACTAGAATAAGCCGGAAGGCATAGACTTGCTCACTCTGAATGGTCAGAGGTGGGGAGACCATGATGCTAGAATTACAGGCGCAAGATTCTCAGGGGTCTGAATTGGGAACAGAGGTACTTTAGGGGACATCCCGAAGCTGAAGCCCAGATTCTTGGAGTGCAGGTTGTAAGGGGCGAGCAGGAGGCCAGGATGGGATGATGGGGGCTTGGCAGCTGGTGCTTGGGGGTGCTCCACCCTTGAAGACTAGAGTGAGGACTGGGAGGAGATGGAGGTCTGGAGATGCCAACAGCTTGCCTTCACGTGTGGAGTGTGAGCTCCCCGGGGCGTCCTGGTGTACACATTTGAAAAGCAAGTGGAAATGTCTTATGGGAGCTAGAGGAAGAGGCTAGGGAGCTGTGTCTGGAGACACAGGAGCCAGCCAAGCCTCAGTAAGAATGAGCCGGTGCAAGGTCTTGGGGAGTGAGAAGTTGGGTGGTGGGAAGCACACTGGGGCAGGCCGAGGACCGAGAAGTGCAGTGGGAGCCGGAGACAACTGGAGGAAGCGAGGTCAAGGGGGTGGAAGGAAGGAAGGAAGGGTTGCAAAAGTGGGGAGAGTTTCTCGAGTCCATGGCCTGGCAGGATAAGTCGGATGAAGAATAAAGCCCTTTGCAAGTGGGCACCCTAAATGTACCACCGATCAGGATACTGCTTTTGGAAAGCCAGCTGGCACATGCATCAGGAGCCTTACAATAGCTACATCCTTCAACGTGTGTATTTCTCAGGGCTCTCTGTTAGAAAACAGTTGCGAGTGCAGAACTAAATATTCATTGCAGAGGTGTTTTCCTTTAATCATAGGAAGCCACTGAAGTTATGTCCAACAGCAGAGAGAGAGCAGCTGCATAAATTCTGACACAACCAAGTCATGGGATATTAAGTTGCCGTCAAAGGATGCTTATTACATGCGGGAATGCTAGAGGACTAAAGGCACAGGGCACAGGATTCAGCTTACGACCTGTTCTTGAGAGTGTTAAAGGGCACAGGGAACGATCGCATTGAAATTCACCAGAATGCTAACAGGGTGGAGGGTAAGCCGAAGCTGGATTCTTCTTTGTGTACTTTACAAACTTCCTACAGTGAACACGTAATCCTTTTTTTAATCAGGAGGAAATGCTTTTCTTAAATAAATTGTTTATTTCTGCAATAGTTTCAGACTGTAGACAAGTTGTAAAGAGAGGACAGGGCGTCCTGTTGTAACTTCTCCCCAGAAGTCTCCCTCGGTGCCAGCGTCTTAGCCATGGAGGAATCGGTGTTGGTGCGCTGTAATTAGCAACATGCCAGGCTTTACCTGGGCATCGCCGGGTTTTCCTGGATGCTCCTTTCCTGCCCCAGGCTCCTCTCCTGAGTGCCCCTTTGCGTTCAGTCTCTCTGTGTGACAGTTTCTCGGTCTTTCCTTGTTTTTCATGACCTTGGCAGCTTTGAAAGAGCACTTGCCTGGTGTCTGCAGCGTGCCCCTGCACCTGGGTTGGGCCACCATTTCCTCATGATTACATGGGGAGCGTGGACTGGGGATTAAGTGCCCCCCTTCTCCTTTCCTATCGGGGCTCTCATGATAGCGCTATGACTGTCCTGTGATGCTAATCTTTTTTTTTTTTTCGGAGACGTTTTTGCTATAGGGCACGTGCACTCGATAGAAGGACAGAGGGAGTCAGAGAAACAGAAAGTGAGAAATCACCCTCCAGGGGGGATGGCCACGCCACAATCCCTTCTCCTCCATTCTCCTTTCAGTATCCTGTGCACGCACGCACACACGCCCGGTGTAAGTTTAAGCCGCCAGGTCTGGGACTCGAACCGCGGTCAACTACATGGGAGTCCAGCGACAAAGCCATTATGCCTACTGCTGGTCCCGGGTGATGTTAATCTTCATTGCGTGGTTGAGGTGATGTCTGCCAGGTTTCTCCTCGGTAAAGCTACTCTTTCTCTGTCCCTGTGACATTCTTTGGCAGTGAGTCACTAAGTGCAGCCCACACTAAAGGGTGGGGAGATTCCACTCCACCTGGTGTAGACATGAAAGTGTCGGCGTATGTTATTTGCAGTTCTTCGGTGGGAAAGGCATGTCCTGCTGCCTACATTTATTTATTGCATCATTTATTTCTACCAGTATGGATAGATTTATTTATATAAATTTATATATATGCAAATTTCTCCCAGGAGGGAGAGAAAGAGAAAAAAGAGACAGCCATTCCCAATAGAGCCTCCACAATACCGTAGTCCTTAGTCTCCGCCCCCCGGGGTTGCAGGCACAGACACATGTGTGTATCTGGCATGTAGAGTGTGATCCTGGAACGCAAACCTAGGACCTGCCCACATGGGTCCAGATGCCTCAGCCTGTGCCACCGTTGGCCCTGGGCCCATGTAGATTTCTTTTATATTTCAGATTATAATCCAATACTATGTTATTGCTCAAATTGTTCTGTCTTTGGCCACTGGGAGTCCCAGTTTCTTTTATCAGAGGATGGATTTAGAAACCATGTTCTAGGTGTGCTTGCTGATAAGAATATTAGAAAAATAATAATGATAACAAAAACCTGCTGACTTTGGTCCCAGGAGACTTTGGAGGAGCTGGCGAGAAGTGGTTTTGGCAGAGAAAGGGGGGCAGAAGACCACGTGCAGGTGTTAGGTATCCCGTCCCCCCGCCCGTCACTGTGCACAGCGGGTGTACCGTAAGTATTGTGTTGAGTGGCAGCAAATGGCCAACTAGCGTGTAGGAATGTGCAGGCTTCCGTCTGGACTAGTGAGCTGTTTCTGGTTTAGGGGGAGAATAGAGCAGCATTTAGGGCATGGAGAGGTAACCCCCAGCCCCTCTGCTATGTGTTTATGGCTGAGGGACCCCCACCATGGTTCTCAGATGCTGGCATGCTGACCCCAGCTCTGCAGGGCATCTCCCCTGCTGCAGACGGCAGGGGCAGGAGATCTAGAGGCGGCCCACGTGCTGGCTCCTTCCCAGTCCCGAGAGCAGACTGGGAGGGCACCGGGATCGCCCAGCTGCCCTGCCTTCCCTGTCGGCTCGAGACGGATGCCATCCAGCTGGTTCCAAGAACACAGCATTCCCAAGGAGGGTGTGTGTGTGTGTGTGTGTGTGTGTGTATGTATGTGTGTGTGCATATGTGTGAGTGAGTGTATATGTCTATGTGTGTGAGTATATGTGTATGTGTGTGTGTGTATGTATGCATGTCCATGCATGCATGTTTTCAGCCTTCGACTTCCATGGCTTGACCCATCATTTTAGCTGAACACCAGGCCTGGTGCC